TGGAATTCGTCTAATAATTTTTGGAGGATGCGCCCACAGATATGCTATGTAACTGAATTAGCTGTAACAAAAGCATATTTATTCACGCATCGATTTTGATAAAAATTATATAACTAAGCTAAGACAGAATTATTTATATTATGGGAAAATACCAAAATTCGAACGACGTAATGGCACAGCAGTTACCTAGTTACTAGATCGAAAATTGGTCACATTGAAGTGGATTGCACCTATATTGTATATGCTTACGACTATTGTACAAATCAGTACTACTGTACAAATCAGGTATATATCATGTATTTTTATTGACTAATCTTTGTATTGGCACAATATATTTTATCTCGGTATTCACAGCTAAAGTTCGTAAAAAATGACTGTAAATTTACTTAACACATCCAAACTGTATGTATTTATTTTATTAGGGGCTATTGTAAGTGGACAATAATACGAGTTATGTATATAGTTTTACACTATATAAGTATATGTTATCTTCGGTACCTACTGTAATGTTACCTATAGTCAATAGATTTTACTTTAGAGAGAGGTTAAAAGATGTCTTTTTTTACTTATAATAGCTTTTTATCCGCTACTTCAAACGCGTGAATTTTATTGCTTATTTTGAAAATAAATTACATAGACTACTTCTAAATGGCGTATCTAAGTAAAACATTTTAAGTTAAACCTTCCGAGGCACGATTTTCAAAACCGAATTCAATTTGGTGCAACACTTGTTGATATGATGAACAAATATGAACAGGCAGACATACTAAAATTACTGATTTGGCTTCTATTGCTCTTATTAAGACTCTTCATACGAATTTTTCAAATTAATAAATTGATTTACAATTTTATGATTCTACGTACTAATTTGATATTGTTAATATATACCAACATTACAAATAATTGGATTTCGGCTGCATATGCACCTGTTTAGCTAATACGTCATACAAGAAAGATATACAATATTTGAATATTCTTATTAAAAACTTTTTTATCAATCAACTTCAAAAAGAAGGAGGTTCTCAATTCGGTTCTTTTTTTATATTTATTACCTCATAACTCCGTCAGTCTCCGATTTATATAAATTTTTTTATCTGAAATAACATACAGATTGATCTCATAGAAATTGTATCAAAATTTGTTCAGTAGTTTAGTTTTTAAACTAAAATAATTGGTTTTTCCATGACTGACGTGAACTAATTCAAAATAATATTTAACGTTTTAATGCGAGTACTTCGTCAGTAAAGATAATCTATCTCTAACCCATTTTTGTAATTTCGATATCGTTTTTAAATCATAAATTATCAGATATAGTTTTTAAAACAAAACAACTGTATTTTGGTTTAAAAACTATATCTGATAAAAAAACAACTGACTTCAATTGTAACACAGCTGAGGTTTTTTTTTTTTTTTGTGGAACACAATCTTAAATATGTGTCTATATAAAGTTACCATTTTTCTTGGCGCAGCAAAAAGCTATTTGTTGCAAAGCAAAATCTACATTATATTTCCAATATCTATACCTATTTTATAGCGTATTATTGGAATATACCGCAATATTATGTGATAATTGAATTAAAAATAAACAGGTGCACATACAGACACCATTTTCTATATCTGTTTATGTTTGGGGTTGGTATGATGATATTTTTTTCTTTTTCATTCGTCTTTATTTGCAGTCATCTCATTATTGACTCCTTCTCAAGCTCTCTCTTCTCTTGTCAATCTCATATTAATCTTTTCGTCTCTACGCATCACATGTCCATACCAAAACAAATTATTATTCAATTAGTTTCCATATTTTCTACTCGTATAATAATACGACTAAATATAAAATTACCAATAAGTAATTTTCCGACTTCTAAATATATAGAAATCATTTAAATAATATATTTTAAGATATCAGTATTAAAACTGCGAATGTACGAGTAAATGTCTAGTATTACATTAAAATGTTTTATCTTAAATGTTGATATTATTACATAATCTTTAGAGAGGCTTTGTAAAAATGTTTGCAGTGTGTTCGTGTTTCTACTGCCAAACATTTGTACTTGCATGGCTGTGTACATACGTACTTATGATAGTAGTAGTAGTAGTTTTTCGGTCTGGAGAGTACGTCTTAGAGAGAGAGAGAGGAGAATCTTAGTCAACAGGACAGGATATATGTCAGCTTGCTCGTTATTCCAAGTTTTTTTTTTTTTGATGAGTGAAAATGGTATGGTATCCCCGCCTGCGCTAACGGGATACGCTGGCGGAGCGCCAGTGAAGGGTGATAGATGAGAATGAAAACAGGCCAGTTAGCCCATCATGATGAATTCATCAGGAATTAACCATGATAGTTTCCAGGGGGAACCGCGAGGAGGTCCGTTATTCCAAGTTGCACGGAAAACCTAAATCATTAGCTGACATAAGACCAAAAAATAAGATTTTAGTGCGTAACCTGTTATAATATTATTAAGTACTATTTTGTAAACTGTATCTTTATTGCGTTCCAATGGGCGAGCACTTCCATTGTTTGGTGTAAACGGTTTACTGGTTTTTGAATTTTTTGTCGGGTTGCATCTTTGTTCTACCAGTATGGCACATACCTACATATATGTGCCGTGATTGTTATGAACAGTTACAACATGAAATATTTAAAATCGGATGCGCGAGAAGTTGTGTTTCATAGTCTTAATAGATAAATATCTCAGTGTACACAAATTGAATTGAATAATTCGATTTTTATACACAAATATATTATTTACCTATTATTTTTGTATTTTAAATTCTAATGCTGAACATAAGCCTCCCCCTTGGCGGGTTTTGCCCGTAGGTAGTTACCTCGCTTGGCAGGCGGATTGGCAACCGCAGTTAGGTTTTAGAGATGTTTTAAGAAGAACGCTGCTGCCCATCCCTCGCCCTCCTTTAGTCGTCTCTTCCGACACCCACGGGAAAGAAAGGGATGACCTTTTCTATACCGGGACCACACGGACCCTACTAGTAGCTAAATCATAAAGTCGCATCATTCAATCATCAGAAACCATATACCTACTGTAACTACAATCAAAGCTTAAATTAACATGGTCTAAGAAGATGATACAGAAATGATCTAGAAAGCTGCTACAGTTCTATAACTTAGCTTCTAAACTACAAAGTTGATTTAAAAAAATAATGTGTATAGGTAACACTTAGATCAATTCGTAATCGTAATGATCGTAAAAATATTGAAAAAAAAAAATTATACCTAAGAATTTGTTATACTAGTAAATTCGAAGTTTTTATGTATACTAAAATTACAAACTATTCTCGCTCTATATACATATGTACGTATTGATGGGAGCTACGATGATACAGTCAGGCATAAATATCATGATGTATTATTGTAACTTTCAAACGAACGAATACATTTCATTATTTTTTTTTAACTAACCTGCAAACTTCCTTAAGAAAAGATGTCCAGTTTCATAACCACAATTACGGCTGTTAGTTTTATTGTTATAATTATCTTTTCTGTTACTGTTAAATGAAATATAGGTATCTAGCTCTCACTAACCACTAGGTACTATACAAAATTTTGCAGTCGTCGTGATAGTCTTTCTGTGTCAATATCTACTAAACATTATTCTTACATTCACTAGTAACAACTAGTAAAGTACAACCTATTAATTATCATTTCAATAAACTTAATAATAGAGAATCGTATTCAGAAATAGAAGTTCAAATTGGTACACAATTATAAAACAGATAAACAATATTATCGTACTTGTATCTACTAATAACACTAATGGAAGGGGAAATAAAAATAATTTATAATGTTTTACACATCTATGTACTCATGGCATGCTTATTACATTACAATAGTCTTTTGGTTATTTAGTAACTAAACTTCAAGGTAATATTTAGTCATGGTTTATTCATAGTAAATCTATAAACAAATATTTTCTCAGATAATCCGACAAGCGTTGAGAATGAGTGTCCATAGCTGTGTGTATATAGTACTTATTTATATGCAGGTATCTATAATCATGAGTTATATAAAACGGAAATTAAAATATGTAAGCAGCTCATAAGAATAAAGCATTAAATCTCCCTATCTAAATGAGTCGTCTTACTTAACAATACAATGTATATGTACTATGTACCGAAACAGATCAAACTAAATATTTGATTTGTTTCGGTACCACGGCAATGTTGTAGAAAATGCGGGTGCTCATTATGCAAATTAAAACAAAAGTACACGCCGAAACAGCTTCGGTTCATTAATACTGGAAACATCAATTATACTGCAATAAAATCCATAAATTGGAAACTATGGACCTAAATATATGAAAGGTATTCTGTTCCTTACAATGAAATCAGAAAACACAAATTTCTATAGCAAATTACAAGAAAAAAAGTTAAGGAAACTATAATAGAGAGCGCAAATCGAATCCAATTACATGATTCTAGAGAACAAAGTAACAGGGCTTGTAGCACGCGTGTAGAATTAATTTTATAGTGTCAGGAGAAATTTGGAATAATTGGCCCTTCATTACTCTTAATGGACGGCGTAACTCTTTATTGTTTAAAAATCATACAAGAATTGGGATTTTTATATGAAACGTAAAATTTAGGTACCTAACAAACTAGTGTAAGTATATAAGTAGAATTAAAGATGAAATAAATCGTTCTAAACGAACGGCGGTCAATAAGATTAACAAACAGATAACGGTAACTAAAGATGCCAATCATGTCGATTTCACACGCATGTTTATACAATCGATTAGCGTTTTTAATGAAACCTAAAATGGGCTTTAGATTTTTAAACGTATCTCATTTTGGTATACATAGTAGATCGTTGTACTAAAAGCCTTAATTGTGCTATAAACGAAACGGTTACCAGATGTTCGTTCAACAAATTAATTTCAATTAAATAATAGATTTAATTATAAGTTTAGAGTACTACACAATACTACCAAAACAATTTATTTCAATCAGAAAATTGATCAGTAAATAAAAATGCGTTTTCTTTTTTTCAGATGCCAGTGTGGTTTAAGACATGACTCGGGACAATTACGAAATGAAAAGTAATCGACTGTCGCGCGGTGGTTCACTATTCGGTGGTGATCCCCAAGTACAACTGAGGACGGCATTGCGTACAAATGATATTGTGACCTTTAAGAAACTCATCAACTATGTTGACCTTGAACATGTTTATGAATATCCAGACTATAAATCTTGCCTTGAACTAGCAGTCTCGGAGCCAAAAAAACAAGATTTCATAAAACTTCTGTTACAACACCAAGTTCAAGTGAACAAATGTAATGAAACTCATAACGCCGCTCCAATTCATTTTGCAGTTGAAAACGGCAACATAGAAGCACTGAAACTCCTGCTAGAAGATGATAGAATAGATGTGAATATTAAAAGTAAAGGGAACACTGCTTTGTTGTTAGCCATTAAGAAAATAGAAGATCTCGAGGACGATCGCGAGCGAGAATTAGATATTTATGAGGATATGGTAGAACTTCTTCTTAAAGCTGGATGCAATGCAAACTCACCAGATTTAAAAGGCATAACACCAGTTTATTCCGCAGCAAAACAAGGTCTAGAGAGAGTTATCACCCTGATTTTGGATTACTCTAAAGATCCTATTGATCTCGATAGTTACAAAGATAGAAGAGGTAAAACGGCACGTGATTTTTTAAAGGAAGCTTTTCCGCATTTATTGGATAAATTTAATTCTTCTTCAGAAATCGTCGAAACTATTGATAATGATAAATTATTTTCGTTTCTGTCTAGACATGAAGAAGACAATTTTATTCGAGACTTCTCAAAGCTTGTTAAGAAAAATGAACATCGACCGGCACTAGCAGCCAATAATGGTATGAATACTATGCTACAACTCGCCACAGAAAAAGGACTTGATAAAGTTGTAGGAACATTATTACTATCAGGAGCAGATCCTAATGCCACTTGTTCTGGTAACACATATCGACCTATAGCTATTGCTTGTCAATATGGATTTTATAAAATACTTAAAAGGTTTACAGAAAATGATAATACACTATTCGATCCTGTAAATGATGAATCACTTATCCAGTTAATTATAAAAGGGATGCGATCATATTCAGGAAACTCCAAAGCAGATTATAAAAGTTGTTTGGAGTTATTACTCAGTCATCCTAAAAATAATATTGATGTTAATTATCGTGACATAAAATATAATACAGCTTTACATTATGCTGCTCGAAATGGTGATAATGACACTGTATTAGAGTTATTACGCAAAGGAGCATGCATAGGTATACGCAATCTATTTGATGAACCACCATTGGCCGATATCAATGCTAAAACGTTAGAAACATACTTAAATGAATGTGTTACGACAAACGGCGAACGACCCAGTGATGATGACTACGAAATACATATGAAATACAGTTTTCTAGTATATCCTAATAATAATTCATTAGAAACAGAACTCACTAAAGTACCTTTAATGGATAACTCTAATAATAACGTGAAAGAATATGATGCTATTTTAGCTCCAGAAACAGACGCTCTTTTATATATGACACGAAACGAAGAATTAAGACCGCTTCTAAAACATCCAGTTATCACCAGTTTTCTATATTTAAAATGGCAAAGAATAAGTTGTCTTTTCTACGCAAATATTACCTTTTATTCTCTTTTATGGTTGTGTCTGATTCTTTACATTATATTAGGATATGGAGTAGAACACAAACAACCTAATTCCATTGAAGCGTTGAATGTAATTACTCACATTGGTGCCATAATTGGATTAATACTCTTAGTTATAAGGGAACTGTTCCAGCTATTGGTTGCACCAATAAGGTATTTGCAGAGCATCGAGAACTGGATGGAAATAGCATTAATAATTGTAACCACGTGGATCGTATGTTACGATTCTGCACCAGAATCAACAAAGCAACAATTATCAGCTGTAGCTATTTTATTATCATCTGCAGAATTAGTTCTTCTAATTGGTCAATTTCCGACATTATCAACAAATATTGTAATGTTGAGAACTGTTTCATGGAACTTCTTCAAATTTCTCCTTTGGTATTGTATTTTAATAATTGCCTTTGCACTTAGTTTCTACACATTATTTAGACAAGAAATCGATGATGACAAAAAAGCTCCAAACCCTAATTGTACTGGAAAAGAAGAAGACGAGGAGGAAGACTTTTTCGTGGATCCAGGGAGATCACTGTTTAAAACCATCGTTATGTTGACAGGTGAATTTGATGCAGGTTCAATTAAGTTCGGTACATTCCCCGTAACAAGTCATATTATATTTATTGTATTTGTTTTTATGATTCCTATTGTACTATTTAATTTGCTTAATGGTCTAGCAGTCAGTGATACTCAAGCAATAAGGGCTGACGCGGAATTAGTTGGCCATATATCTCGAATCAGATTGATATCATATTTTGAGAGTGTACTTATAGGGAACGAAACCAGTTACGCGAGACCATGGAGATGTTGGTCATGGTTGCCGACAGATATACAAAATTTACATATAATAAAGCCTAAAACGTTATGCATAAAACCTTTCGCAAAACGAATAACTCTTTTTCCACATTTTTTGCCTAAATACCGCATTATTGTAAAACCAAATCAAGACAACAGAATAGAGATACCAAGGCCAGAACCTTTGGGAAAGTTTGATGACGATGATGAAGATATTGAAACAGGCAGATGTTGCTTAGAACGTTGTAGGAATTATAGACTAGATAGAAGTATCGTGAAGAATGCAAAAACTGTGATCACTACTATGGCAAATGTTTCAGAATCTGACGAAATAAAGGCCATATTTACTCAATATGAGAGAAAAATTGAAAACCTCCAAAACCTATTAGAAAAAGTTCTGGATAAATTAGAATCTCGTCCATATTAATCTTTTTTTTTAACAGTAATATTAAATTATTTCCGACTCAGTATTTTTTACGGAAAAAATCAGTAATATGAACTGCGACAAGAATAACTTATATAAATGTTGTACCTACTAGTAGATATAAACCATACATGCGGAATCCAAGAGTCCATCCATGTTATTAATATATTCTAATCAATAAATACCTATTATTATTAATAGAAATTAGGTATTAAAAAGATTTGTCTTTGAAGATCTTAATACGTTATTATAATGCTAAATTATTAAATATGTTACATTGTCATAAGCATTTATTTTTATTAAACTAATATAAATTGTTTGTGGATTTATTAATCGATTTACATTTACACTATTAATAAGCTCTCATTTCCCAAAATTGCCTCTTTGTGGAATATTTAATTCTACTTTAAATTCCAAACTAAATTTTATAATATATTCACATAGATTCTATGTTTACAGTCTATGAAATAATCACATAAGTCATAGAAAGTAATCACTACGTAGTTAATACCTATCCTTATGTTGTAATATATTTTCTTTTTAAAAAATAATTGTCATTTGTTTTGCCACCGCATGAATTTTTGTAGTCATAGTTGAATTATAATCAGAATTGAGTATTACTTTCAAAAATGAATTCCGACGTGCCACTACGTAGTAGTATATAGACCAAATTTTTTTAAAGTTAGAATAGCAAAGATGTCGACGTCACACATGATGAAAAATAGTAACCGTCGCCTATGGACATGAACTATGGACATCACAGAATGCATTGTGATACCTATGTTACCCTTATATGTTAACATTCCTAAAGACTAGTGTTATGCTGCCCGTAGTGCTGTCTGAACATGGAATTTATTTGAATGGTAGGTACACAGTTACACCATAGCCATGATTAACACATATACTATGTATATCCTAGAATGTATATAGGATAAAAATTATCCTGACTGACGTAAGAAAAGCCGCAGTATACAGATAAATATCATCTCAGCCACCATCCGTCTACTGCTGAATATAACCCTTCCCCATAGACTGACATAAGGAACGGTTCCGAGCCACCAGCACCCACTGACTCCCTGCAATGGATTGAAGTCGTCACTCCAACTAGTGGGGGTCGTCCTATACTATGTTTACCTGTACAGTATCGCCACTCAAAAACCTTTTTTCTCCATCGGTTGTCGATTCTTCAAGCTATGTGACCAGAGGGCCTACCATGAAATGTTTTCCGAAATTTCGGAGCCAAACGAAACAAAAATTTGATGTTAAAATTACATAATAGATGCCGTTTGGAAATATTAAAAATGTTAAAATATTGTTCCTTTTGACTTTTATGATAGGATGTATGACGAACGAAATGTTAAACTCAATTTATTAGTCCAATTTTGGTATAAACAAAAACACGAAATTGAGTCCAAAATTTCGGAAATTCATTTCATGGTAGACCCGCAGGTCATTTCTAGTTCAGGTTGCTTATCCTTTGGGCTATGTCGGCCACTTTGGTTACATAGAAATTTTTATAATAATTTTGTATGCTTATTGTGGTAAATAAACAAAACTCTTACTAAAACTTATGTATATTTGATCATAGTCTAAGTCAGTACTTTGTCCGTGTAATTCCGGCATAAAATGGGCCACCCCTTCTTTTTCCGTGGGTGTCGTAAGAGGTGACTTAGGAAAGGCGAGGGATGGATACGCCTGCCAAGCGTGGCAACTACTGGCAAAACTCCTCAAGGTGGAGGCTTATGTTCAGCAGTGGACAGATAAAGACTGAAATTATGATAAATCAGTACTTACCTAAGTTCTAGTAACCAATTGAAATTCTTAGATATGTAATAAAACTTATATTTAACCATATTATAGGCATGTACTTACCTAAGTTTGTTTTTTTTTTTGTAAATTCACATGACTGAACAGCGTGGAAAACGAGGAACTAAAACATTCTCCCACTACCGTTCTTATTTTCTTGATTAAATTGGCCACATCGGGGCCAGTTTTTCACCAAGCTTAGCAGTACTATTTTCAGAAATGTCTTTTATTGGTAACAAAAAATTAAAAACTTAATGTTTTAATTAGAAAAGTTTTCACTCCTAAAGATTTTTTATCAAATTCATTAAAGTTGGTCTAGCCCTTCAGTGATAAAACCCCACAGACACACAACGTAAGCGGAGTTTTCATTCTCACCTTCCACCTCTCACTGGTACCCTGCCAGTGTATACCGAAAGCGCAGGCGGTTTTATCATTCCATTATTACCCATTAAAAAAACCAGTCCCATTACTAGCAATATCAAAAAGGTCAACCACCACGTGTCCCCGTCCTTGGAAACTATCGTGCTGGATTCCAGGAGTATTCATCACAACGGGTTAACTGGCCTGCCGTTTCATTCTCACCTATTATTCCTAACTGTTACTCCGCCAGTATATACCGTTAGCGCAGGCGGGGTTACTATTACATTATCATACATTAAAAAACCAAGCCTACCTACTTATATATATCAAAAGCACTAGCAAATAGGTGTATGTATTTATTGCTCTCACGTTCCATTAGGCGCTTAATTCGTGATAGGCATTGGAAGGCGGCTATAAGTCATCGACATCATTGTCGTATCAAGAATCAGTCATAGAGCTCGTTCAATATCTTGACAAGAAAACTTTTTTTATTATAATCGTCATCTGTTCTCAAATTTCTTGCCTCAATTCTTGAAAATATCTTTTGGAAAACTGGGTATATTTAACTATAATAATAGAATATACATTATTCATTTATATACTTTATAATTTTGCAAAAGAGAATTAAACTTTAGTGTTTCTTAGATTAAGTTGTTTCCTAGCAAATAACAGAAAAACTATACAAAGTTGTGCCGAATAAAAAGCGGTTACACGTAGTTTATTAATATTTTATTGAAATAAAAAATAACGATGGTATTTACAACCAGCTTACTAAGATTTAATATTGTTTAAATACTTGCAACGATATGTGATTGGCAACAATATATCAAATAATAAAATATAGTATTATTAAGTGAATAAAGTACAATTGAAGTTATCAAGCCGATTATAATTTTGTGTAAATTATCATTAATTAATAAAGGCAATACGTGGGGGAATTATTACACAATGAATAAAACAGTATCTTCCTTCTACGATAATACAGATTGGGTAGAAGTGACAGTCACATAGTTTCTTTTGTAAATGTGGCATTGTTACTAAAATGTACCAATATTCCCTATCGAGGGGTACCACAAATTGATTTGCATTTAACAAATTATTTTTCGTTATGACGCGATACATATGAGTGAGTGAGACGAACGCTTTCACTACTTGCGGTATCTGTTGTTTGAATTTAAATTGATTGTAATTATTATTGATTTCAAGATAATGTCGATTCTACTTTGATATTTATTCTTATTTCCTATACAATGGCCTGTAATTATCTTTTAACATCACATCCTTTAATATTTCAATTCATACATATAATGATCTGAATATATATTCCACTTATTTTTGCATTGCATGATTACAATAAATAACAATGATCCCATGTTTATATGTTGCATATTTGTGACATTATTGAAATAAACACACATTATTTTATCCTAAAAATATAGTACTTACAGAAAAGGCTTGAAAGCATTCAACTTTTTAACAATATATAATACCATCAAAAACAGGCTGTATGATCTAGAAATCTTTGCCAGCTTATTAACAGCAGGTAAATTGAGAACAACATAATTTCTGAGGAGAAATTTAACAATTAGGTGGGACAACTTATAATAATTGAGATTTTTCGAGTAACCGTATCAGAAATACCAAATTGTAAAAATGGCACAGGTCAACAACGTGTACTATGAGAGAAATACTAGATTAAATCACTAAAACATTAGGCTAATAAGCACAGCCTTTTACAACAAATGTAAAATTTAATCTAGACTAAAATTGAATTCACATACAATGACTAATTCCATTTGAAACGTGTACTTCGCATACCTACATCAATCACACTAAAACTATACAGGGTCAGTCATAATGGGTGTATACAAATGAAACCCAGTGATAGTATTTATGAATTTGAATATCTTTCCCCATAGAGTATAATTGCAAAATATTTTTTGATCTTTTCATACAGTTGGTTTTGGTGTAACTCCCATTACGACTCACCTTCATATATAATACTTCGGAACTAATTTCATATCCTAATTTATAATGTCTTTATGTCACTACCAATTCTACACTCTATGATAGAAATCGTATTTTGAACACATACGATAATCCTTTTAATTTTATTTATTTAGTGATAAACCGCAAAGTCTATATCGTTATAGTATATATTATTTTTATAATTGCGAATGACGAAACTTGATGTTAGAATTATTTTACTCGCGTCTATTCAAAGAACACATAGAAGAACGTTTTACAAAAATAACACCGATCAACTAAAATAATTAATGTCATGATAATGCACCAATACTGATATAAAAAATATGAATTACGCGTCCCATATCACGAACCTATTTTTGTGATAATCCCAGTCTGCCATAAACGTATTTCAGCACAATCGCAGTTTGACACAAACGCTATTGATATCCGATTCCAATCCACATCTATAACAGACTTGTATTTAAATTTATAGTATTTAAAAAACAAGATAAAAATCTCATTTTTTAAAACTATATAAATAAAAATCTATTTCCTAATGTACGTAGGCTGCACTTATTCGGCTATTTCGCCGCCTTTTGTATCACTTCGCATTAATATTTACTGTATTTGTTATTTTGTTTTTACTTGGTGCAATAAAGTATTATATAAATAAATATTTATTTTTTGTTGTGCTAATAATGTCCGGAGGTTTGTATAAAAGAAAACTTTTGAAAAATTACATGTTGTCATGTGAATTTTCGAGTTTTATGAGTGAAAATTTTGGGTTAAAAAATTTCCTCATAAAATTTTATAAAAAAAAAAATGAGTAAATGAGGAAGAAGACCATAACCGTAAAAAGAAGGTTTGGTCTTATTTTCTTCATTAAAGAATAGATCTCTTTTCGTGACGAGCCTATATGACAAGCTGCGATTAATACGTATATGACCAAATGCATGCGTGGGGCGAGTAACTGAAAAATATGGCAAATTATTTGTGACGAATCACTGACTCATGAAACCACAATCACCTACAAACAGTTTTAAATGGATATTTAAAATAATTTAATTTAATTATTGAGATTTTTATATCAAAAATACTTGTAGTTTATTTGCTCTTTATGTAATCTATTAATAATATTGTAATTAACTAGTGGAGTTATGGTTAATTTAAGTGACTAACATAATGACATTGTGCACATTGTTTACCAATATACGATATTAATTATAATTGTTAATAGTATAATTTGTACTTCTGAGATTTTTTTAATAGTGATCACAGTGTGGCGTACAAGTTATACGAGTATTATCCTGAACAATATTATTTTAAATCCAATACTTACATTAATTATGCACTATATATATTTAAAACTATGTAAGTATTACTTTATGTGACAAATTTGCATTATTTTCATAAGAAAATATCATTTTGTGACTGAATACATTAGTAAAGAGTTTAAACACTATGGTACACATATTTGTTTAGTTTAACCAGTGATTTTTGGTTGTTATTTCTACATAACTACGAATTTATGATAATATTGCTTGGTAGCTGGCGAATAGAATATGGCAAACCATTACATGGTAAACATCTGTATATTACGAAATGCACAGATTGTCATTTTTATAAAAATTGATGTTCACACATGAATCTGTCATTGCACGGAGTTTGATGTGTATAAAGGTGTTCACACTGAGGTGACGAGTTTAGTGCGCGAACGCGCCGGCCGCCGCTAGGAGGCGCTAGCCTTCTTATCGCTATCCATCAGCTTGTCGTCCGCACAGAATTTTTCAAGTTGTTTCACGTAGTATGTGTTGAAGTTCAGTCTAAAAATAAAATTTAGTTTATAGGTAGATTGTGTTCCTTCCACTTACAAAAACATTTATGAAGTATAACTTTCTTAAAATATTAGATCTGCAGACCTGACAACCTCTGAGGTGTTTCAGATACTAAATCCCTCGTTGTTTACCTCGACTGCCCAAGCTTTTACATTCGTACCTTATAATGTATGATTTTGGAGGGAAAAAGATTGTTAGTAATAGGGTCAATTAGCCCCATTACTATCAATATACCCTATCAGGTCGACCTCCACGTGATTCCCCCTGGAAATCATCGTGGCTAATTCTAGTTGAATTCGTCAGAATGGACTAACTGACCTGCTTTCATCCTTATCAGCCGTCAGCTTGTTTGTCATTCTAAGTAAAAAAAAGGTCAATATTGCTCACAATGAAGTTCCACGTCCCTATCACTAACAATCCTTTTCGTGGCATCTATAAAATCACAATATATCACTAGATGACTAATAGCAATTACACTATCCATATTAGGAACACTACCTCAGTTGATGCTTTACACAATGCGCAATATAAATTTATAAATTGATTTATTTGATTAATGGATCTCTGTTTAGTGTAACGGTTGACTGGTAGAGAATGCTAATCAGACTATAAGTCCGACCTGTAGACATATTTTAATGTGTGCAAAAGTGTAAATAAAATATAAACGCAGATTACCAGATACTACAGATAAGGAGTGTCACATACCTGGCAGATATGTTCAATAGCTTATTGGTGTTGTTGTCGCGGGCCATCCTCTCGATTATTGCAAGCACGGAAAGCAACGCGGCAGTGAAACGCAGACCGTATCGGGAAACGGAACGGGAAAACGAGTCTGCCGATCCGCTCGTTGTGGATCCACAACAGCCGGTAGTCTGTTTATAACATAATACGGGGACACGATTAATTTATATAAAAAGGCACAATAATTCACAATTCATAATTCACAAAAGACACATCTCCTTTATTTTATTGTAAAGCCTTATTTTAAAAGTAGTTATGTCGCGAAGTTTGCCGTTGGCTTTTTCAAACAAAATTTGAATTTTACAAGATAATGATAAATGGATATAAATAGATTCTAACTAGCAGCCTGGTACGGTGCTGTTTTTGACGTTCAGGAAGATCCGTAAATATTGACAGTTGTATACGAACTAGCAATTTCCGTACTTTATGGCAACATAGTAAAAATGTTATCATACCATGACTATATATATATAGTTATATTAATATACTAAAGATAAGATATACAAATAAAAATAACAAATTTCTATACTGAGGATTATAGAATTATTAACACTTAGAACGAAAATTTTCGATTATAAATAAACAAACAATTATTATTTTTTATTTATTACATCAGCTGTTAATTGTCTACTAGTGATCATAAACCTTCCTCATAAGGGGAGTTTTGACAGTAGTTGCCACGCTTAGCAGGGGGGTTGGCAACCGAAGAAAGGCTTAAGTGATGTTTTAGGAGGAACGCTGCTACACGTCCTTCGACCATTAAGTGCCCTTAGTCGTCTCTTATGACACCCATTAGAAAGGAAGGGGTCGCCCATTCAATGACGGGACCACACGGCGTAAACAATTATTTATTGAAAATTAAATTCTAACATCTGTGTAATAAGAGTGTAGTAAGCAGTCTTCATTGTCATATAAGACTGTTACATACCTCAGAAAACGTATCATATGACAAAAGAATTGAACGCATAAAAGCGATGAATATTAATAAAAACAGAATATTATTAATAACATGAAAAATAAATACTCGATTGAAATATTATATTAATATAACATACATTTATGATACAAATGTTTGTATATGTGTGTACGTGTATGAGAGTGATAAAGAGATAGTGGAATATAATACATTCTCAATCTAAAGGTTGCCTAGAAGGACTTTTTCAGTGTAAAGATTTCTTGAAATTGTTTGTATCTATTTATAATAAGTGTACTACTGTAATCTTTTAGAGGAAGCAATAAAAAGTATGTATCTATCTATTAGTTACAGCAGTAACATAATAACAAAAGATAATTGAATATGAATTTTTGTTGACAGAAATATTTTCAAGATACCTTTTCTGTAATGGTCATAATTATTTATCGATGAAAATAATAACTATATAGTGTATTAAAGAAGCAATAAAACAATACTCACCATAGAATTCTAGAAACAGAAAAGTCATGAAAGAATTGTACGAAAAGCATTAATATTTTTCTTCTATCACAAATACTACATGGAAGCATTATTTCACAATATAATGGCATAGCTCTAAATACGCAATGTAAACATAACTTTACATTGTAGGTACTGATGAACCGCGAAAAAACAACTAATCAGAAAACAGAACGCGTTAAACTCATATTGTTATTGGTTCAAATTTTCAAAGTATCCACTACAGCGATAAAGCCTAGTTTACATATCATGATTTATATTTCAGTGCTGTGATTTAAATATAGTTATTTACTCGAGTGCACTAGTGTTTACGTCAGTTGTTTTATTTTAATACCTCACTATAGTCTGTATTGTCATACGCTGATCCAAGCATACTGTTAAGCTCTGCGTCCACGAAGTACTTGTGCATCTCCTTTTGCCAATTAACGTGATTGGTAGCGTTAAAAGAAAATACAAAAGAAATGATTGTTAAAAATCATAAAAAAGGTATTTGATACATCGCATAACATAAGCAATATATACATACTCATAATGCATCATAATATACAAATCAAAATATTATTTGACCTCAAATATGACTAAATATGGAGTAGGATACATAAATAACTAAATAAGGTTAAAATGAAGCACCCACATACCACCACCAGCTAGCTAGATTAATTACTAAAAGTTACATTCAAAATAGTTTATTTTGTTTAATAGTTGACAGGTAAGGCAGAAGATGCCAGTCTTGCCAGGAAAGGGTGGGTCATTTCACACCATTTTCTACAATTACATATTAAGGTGGTATTAGATAAAGTAACTAAGAGATACCTTATTCTATGTCCGCTTGTTTAATTTTTATGCACTTTACAATCATTATTTCGTTACTCAACCGCATTAGCAATACATTTTATGCGCTGTTTTGTTGAATATAAACTAGTATAGCTCAACAAAAACAGAAATAGGTATATGAAAACGGATGCATTTATAATGAAATATGTAGGTATTGACACTTGTATAAATGACGTTTAATGAAAAAATATTGCGCGTTGTTTTGAAATGTTCTTTCAGTCTAAATGTAACTGATTCTATATTGTAGCTTTTTATTCTTATACGTGTAATTTAACTCCACAATTACATTTACGTTACAAATAGACAGTCAAACTGCAGAAATACTTAGAGATTAGAGTAAAATTGTAGACCATAAGTAATTAAATATACCTGTATGAAAGTGCAGAACTGTACGCAGACAAGACATAGTGTGGTGACGGCTTTCAGTAACTGAGGACTTGTCAGCATGCAGTCGCCGAGACACGACTCCAAAAAGTCATTGTGCCGCTCGAGCACTTCATCCACGTTGTTGACCTGCAAATATATTGTATTTATTTATTTATTCTTTTGCTCACATTATTTTTTATGCAACTTTTTTATGCAACAATGTGGGTACTGTTCATATCTATGGGCGACAGGTTACCACTTTATATCAAGTGGGCCGTCAGCTTATTTGCCAATTAAAGTTGCATAAAAAAAATGAGCAAACATAAGCGCATTGGACTCTAGCACTAGGCGAACTATATCGCCATAGTCATCTTGGGATTTAGTAAATAAACAGACTAATGAACGAAGAAACAAATAAATAATCACTCCAATTAACTGATTCTTATGTTAGGATTACGAGGCAATCAATAAACAATTATCTTGAGACTGGGAGCAGAACATAGACTCTAGTCAATTGAGAAAACCTCCTTTCCTAACTTGAAATTTCATTTAATTTTATCACAGGATAATCGCAGTTCTGTGATGTTCTTAATGTTCATAACTTTAGGATCGGAAATGATAATCGTCATTATCACATTCGATCATGTGAGCCATCAATTTATTTGCCATTTCAATATAATGAATATTATTAAAAATGTAGACGACGGGTATGTAGAGTTTTATTTTATCTAATATTATACATATATAGCCGTATAGATCCCGGTATAGAATAGGTGACCATTTTCTTTATCGTGTGTGTCGTAAGAGACTACTAAGGGAGCTATGATAGAGGTATGGACCGCAGCTTCCCTCTTAAAACATCACCAAAGCTGAACTGCGATTGCCAACCCGCTTGCCAAGCGTGGCATCTACTGATAACCCCCCCCCCCCCCTTATGGGGGAGGCTATATTCAGCAGTGGACAGTTAACGGCAGATGCAACAACAACAAACGTAAACGGTGACGACAAACATTGTCTGCTTTCCCTATTCTTTGAAATATAGAATTAAGAATTTCGTATTGATTTTTTATCCACCTAACCTTATATGTATGGTAGCGGCTTTGCATAATACAAACGATTATATGTGAGAGTATATCCACTTATAATGTTTTATTTTTTATTTACTCTTTATTGCATCACTTAAAGAATAATACAAAAAAAAAAATAACATATATGCACAATATAGATAAAATAGACGATTTTTATCGCTAAAACAATCTCCCTTAGACAACTTTTGGGTAGAGGAGAAAAGTAAAAGACGATAGCTATTTGGCGTAAGGAGTATAAAAAGAAACGCTCGTGTTCATGGAATTATCAAAAAAATCATACAAATAAACATATAAATATCATACATCTAAGTACTTATAATAATATTAATATTTTTTGTTTGATGGGTGAAAATGGTATGGTAACCCCGCCTGCGCTAACGGTATACGCTTGCGGAGCACCAGTGAAGGGTGATAGATGAGAATGAAAACAGGCCAGTTAGCCCATCATGATGAATTCATCAGGAATTTATCATGATAGTTTCCAGGGAGAACCGCGAATAGGTCGACCTGGTTGGATATATTGCTAGCAATGGGATTCTCAGTCTCCATTACTAACAATCCCTTCATCCCCCCATATTAATATATTACATAAATAAATACAGCGTAAACTCTATATAGCGAACATCTATTTAACGAAAAACTCTTTAAAATGTAGAAATTGCAGAAATTACTACAGAGTATACTACAAATACGGAACTTACTAAAAGAAACTATAATGTATGTAAAATATAGTCCTTTAGAATATCTGTTGCAAAAAAAGTTTGTTATCGCAGTGGTAGATTATACTCGAATAACTATATTAATAAATTTCTTAACATTTAGCAAGATATTACTGTAAAAATAATACTAGAGCTATCATTTCATTATCATCCATTAAAAAACCCTACAACGCAGACCTATTACACGAATAATACAAACAATAATACCTATTATGTAAAAATGATATCTAAAACTCTAGTGATATCTAACATTTACAATGAAAGCTTCAGAAAGGAAGGCATTGTTAATACTGGGGAGGTTAGTCTCCATTGCTATCAATATACCTTATCAGGTCGACCTCATTGCGGTGCCCCCTGGAAACCATCGTGACTAATTTATCGTTGAATTCGTCACGATAGGCTAACTGACCTGCCTTTTCACCTTCACCAATGATCCCTCACTGGTGCCCCGCTAGTGTATACCGATAGCGCAGGCAGGGTTACCATTCTATTATAATTCATGAAAAAAATGAAAGCTTGATAAGGCAAGATTATTGACAGTCGTCTCTCGTAGTGACGCACGAGCACATCGCTTCATTATGAATATCAAAGCTCGAGGAGTGCGCGCGTACACCGCAATATTTAACGTTGTGATAATCCCAGTTATCTAAGTGTGCGTAAAGCATTTCCGTGCTTGTGAAAAAATTTGTGCCAACAACGACTTTGTATTGTCTTTTTCAGATGGGTGCGTATTCATTTTTTAGAGCTATATTCCTATGGGTAATATTTCGTATATATATATATATATATAACTATCATGTTATCGATTATTATTATTACATATATTCATGCAGAATCAGATAATGCATCAGTTATGATAACATGGGTAAATACTGTATGAACACCCAATCAAGCACAACAATTTGCGAAAAATTCAGACATTTTTTAGTTTATATTTTATAAAATTCAATTTTTATAATAAATAAAGACATGCATATGTTTTTTTCAATATTTTTTCAACAACAGTAATCTTAGCTTATAATAAAAAATATAGAGGCTCTTGCATAGGACACTATAGACTACATAAAATTAGTTCGCGTCAGCGCTTGCGCAGATTCCACGTGTAATAAGCTATTAATTGCCACTACTATAATAATTATTTCGAATAGTGTATTTTGTAGTATATAAGATATATTTAGTAATATTATAAAATGTTAAAAAGACCAGTGCGAAGTCCAAAAGTTCACCGGTTAGTTCTCCCAAAATTAACATCGACCCTCAAAAAACATTAGCTAAGAAAGTACTGGAAGTAGGGAAATAAATGAAAAACTACAAATTCTTTACGTAATTAGTAGTTAATAGTTATCTGCATACTTTTAGTATGCAGAAAAACTATTAACAGACTATTAGAATCAGTATATTTTTATGCCGAGAAGTACCAACAACTGATATAAATCAATAATAAAATGGAGAAAAAAAAATTAACTCGTTAGAACTAAGAAATATTTATTTAGAAAAGTGCAACCAAGCTTCAAAAGAACGGATTACATCAATTTAACAAAAAAAAAAAACAGCGAAAAGGATGTTTAAATTTTGGGACTTGAACAATTAGAAGACGAAAACATTACATTACTGGTGAATAAATTGACAAATACGTTAAACTTATCCACAGAAAACATTGTGGATGCAAGGCGGGTAGGTGTAAAAAATCTGACCAACATAAATCCCGAGCAATTATATTAACTTTGGCATTACGAACACAAAGAGATAAGTGGTTGGAAAATAAAAAACAAAAATGGCATTTAACTGAGATATCTATGGCAATCAAAATGATAAACGAATTTATATCAATTAACATTTAACTAAGACAAAACGGTAAAAAATGAATATATGGAAATGGAAAAAATGAATTAAAGGATATATATATAAATACATATGGATAATTAACGGAAATATACTCTTTCATAAATTGGAAGGTCATAATAAAAATTATGTCAATAAAGTACATATTAATCTAATAATATTTGTAAACTTGTGCTTACATTTATACTATAACATTTACGCCACCGACGAATATAACAACTAAAATAAAATGTATAAAATATACAGATGTTGAAAACTGGAGCTCATATATAAATGGACAAAATAGGTATTTAAATATTAATATACTTAAATATAAGGTTAAGAAAAATATTCAAGCAGTTTTTAGTATATATAAATAAATTTAGTATATATATCTGAAATCAACAACACAAAATGAATTATCCATGTATACATTACCAGAATATGACATGTATTGGAGTACAAGAGAGACGAGAAGAGGTGGAGGTATATTGGTATATGTGAAAAACAAATTCAATTTTACGGCCAATGCTATCAAAAGAAAATATGGAGAATATATTCAGGGCAAACTAAAACTAAATCTAATATATATAATTCTCGTGTCACGGTGTTTGTTACCAAACTCCTCCGAAACGGCTTTACCGATTTTCATGAAATTTTGTGTGCATATTCGGTAAGTCTGAGAATCGGCCAACATCTATTTTTTATACTCCTCAATGATAAGAGTGACCCACCCCTAAATTTTTTTTTTATTTTTTTGCCAAAAATTTTTAATGTTATTTAAATATGATTTATCATTGAAAAATACATATAGATTCAAATTTTCAAAATGAGTGCCCATTGTTATTATACCACAAATTAAATACATTGTTTAGTGAAATCTATGCCAGTTGTGAATATCAAATTAAGGCAACCATAGATAGATAATAAATTATTAAAAGTGTTAGACAGAAGAGATTGTTTATATCGAAAAGCAAAAAATAATCCTAAAATTGTAACTTATAAATTAGAATACACTAAATATAGAAATAAAGTAAATAAATGTATAAATAAAGCATTTAATGTATACAGACAAAATGAATTGAAAAAATGCAAAAATGATGTAAGAAAGTTTTGGGAAAATATAAATGGAGAGAAAAAAGGGAAAAATAGCCAATGTTATTAAAAAGTACCTGGGGGGAAAAAGAGACAGTTAATAAGTTCAAATTTTTCAAAATCATTTACAAATGAAATACATAATATAAATACATAATTGTAATAATAAACTTTTATATAGGAGTATGTATGTGGAGAAATGCAATATGTCCATGAGGTATGAGAAGGTAACTACATACGAAGTAGAAAAAATAATAGATAAAATAAGCCCTAACAAATCTCCGGGTGTGGATAAGATTAGAATGTCTGATATTAAATGTATCAAGAAACAAATAAGCCAAGTTATAGCTCATTTTATTAATATAAGTATATCTCAAAGTTCAGAACAATTAAAAAGAGCGTTAATAAGGCCGTTGTATAAACATGGTAGTGATTATGAATACACAAACTATAGACCTATTCGCTATCCTTTCTATAATTAATAAAATAACGGAAAAGATTGTAACACAAATTACTAACTTTTTAGAAAATAATGCTATATTGTCAGTTGTGCAACATGGTTTCAGGCAATATCGCAGTACGGCATCAACTCTTAATGAATTTACAGATTTTGTAAACAATAGTCTTAATAAAAAACAAAATGTTGTAATTATATTTATTGATTTTTAAGAAGGTTTTCGATACTTTAAATCACGAACAGTTGTTACAGGCCATGTCAGAATGTGGAATAAGTGGCCCTAGGAATAAATGATTAAAATCATATTTGAGTCAAAGGAAGTTAAAAACGCCTTTATTTGGTGTTTCGGAAGACGAGTATAATATCCTCTATGGCGTTCCAACTGGATCGATGTATGGACCAATTGGATATATTATGCACGTTAATAGATTGTGTAACGTAGTGAAAAAATGTAAAATGTGTTTGTATGCAGACGATACATGCTTATTATATGCTGGTAATGACCCTACAGACATACAACATAATATTCAAACTGATTTAACAAACGTTATTACTTTGGGCACACGACAATGGAATTATTATAAATATAGATAAAACTAAATTTATGCATTTTCGTTCTCCATACCTCAAATTAAAAGGTTATAATTTTAGTATTGTTGGTCATAGTTATAATTGTTTACATGTTGGGAGTGTCAGCTGTGACTGTTCTGTTATAGAATTTGTACCTCACTATAAGCACCTTGGTGTAACATAAATGAAAACTTGTGATGGGGATTGCATGTGAGCAATATATGCTCTAAATTAAGATCAATATTATCAAAATTCCGTCAGTTAAGCTTTGCTGTTAACAAGAAAACATTGGGGGGAAAGGGATTGTTAGTAATGGAGACTGAGAATCCCATTGCTAGCAATATATCCAACCAGGTCGACCTCCTCGCGGTTCTTCCTGGAAACTATCATGGTTAATTCCTGATGAATTCATCATGATGGGCTAACTGACCTGTTTTCATTCTCATCTATCACCCTTCACTGGTGCTCAGCCGCGTATCCCGTTAGCACAGGCGGGGTTACCATACGATTTCACCCATCAAAAAAAAAAACAAGAAAACATTATATGTATATATATATATATATATATTATACACTTGTAGATGTCATTATATCGTATGGATTGGGTAGTTAAGGTTGTACTTTTGACATCCGCTTGAACCAAATAAAAGATATGCAGATAAAGTTTATGGAAATTTTAGTTGATAAAAATAAGAAGCAAAGATGTAAACGAAGCGGGTATACAGAGTTATTTAAGATATGTCAATTGTTGTCCGTAAAGGATAAAAATAAACTATTACTTTTAATGGAACACTATAACAAAGATAAATATAAAAAAATTATTACTCATAAAGAACAAGAAAATATTTAGTTCCAAAATACTATAATGTATTACCGAGAAACATACTATTATTAAATAATGTCACAGTAAAATATTTTAAAAGTATAAAAAAAATATAGACCAGTATTAGATTTAATTTGGATGGTGATGGTGATTTGGTTGTCCATAATGTATAGTGATAACTGAGGACAGCACACACTATCTAAAATACAAGCAAGTGGATGGCAAATGTTGTTACTGGTATGAGTACACATTGGTATATGTATGTGTGGATGTGTATATATGCATATGTGTGTATATGTATGTATGTATAAAGATATAAATTTAGTATATAGAATTAGGATAAATCATAATTGTTTATAAAGCTGTATGTACAAGAGCGCAAAGCTGCAGAAAAACTGCAAAGCAGTTTCGTGGCACTAAGAATATGTACTGTCTATGTAACTGTTTACTTGAAATAAATAAATAGATAAAATTAATTTATTAATTAATTAATCAAAAATTTTAAAATAAGGTTCGTTCTTTACGATTTATAAAAACAAACTACTCTCATATCGAGTTACATACTAAAGTATAATAAAAACAACCAGCATTTTATCCTCAATAATATTATAAATATGAAAGTGAGCTTGTTTGTTACCTCTTGATGCCTCAACTGCTCAAATAATTGCCATGAAATTTTGTATACATGTTAAAAAATGGAGAAGAATATAAGCTACTCTTATCCCGGTTAATCTGTATAATATCCAAGTCAAGAGGACAAAGTTGCGGATAAAATCTAGTTATCTATCGAATCTAACTTTTGAAACCTATGAACATGCTACCAGGTCAGCAACTAGCACCCAAAACAAGGTAACCTTGATAGTTATTTCGTAACACTCGAATTTTAGTTAATTCTAAAACATCCTAGCATTCGATCTTTGTCACAAAGATAGTTTGAGTGATAGATCTTCGAATACCATCATATACACTTTGCGGATACTGTATAACCGTAATACGATCTGTTACATTTTTGAACGATAAGTGGAATAGCAAGCAGAAAGTTCGGGCGCATCTGTTTCATTTAAATAAACAAGCACAATAAGATCCACAAAACACAGACACTAAATAAATAGAAATAAATAATTGTATGACTATACAATTGATTGCAAATTTATACGGGTCGTACCAATGTCTCCCGTTCCATCGTGGAGAACAATCGTGAACAGCTTGAGTCTGAAATCGAGAGAACACTAACTGGAGTCTCTGATTGGGGACGACAAAACTTGGTCCAATTTAACCCCTCTAAGACACAAGCTTGCGCGTTCACCGCTAAGAAAACCCCATTTGCTGTGGCCCCACAGTTCCAAGGCACGTCTCTTAACATCTCTAAAAGCATTGGAATCCTTGGTGTCGACATCTCTAGTGACGTACAGTTCCGTGGCCACCTCGAAGATAAGGTGAAGCTGGCATCCAAAAAACTCGGTGTGCTTAATAGAGCGAAGCATTACTTCACGCCGGATCAGCGATTAATGCTTTACAAATCGCAAATCCAGCCCCGGCACGGGAGCAATAGCACGAACGCGACAGAGGCCATAGCTGAATTTATAAGTATCTCTTAACAAAGGGCAATAATACAATACTAGCTTTTATCCGCGACTTCTGCGTGACCAGAATACATTTACTACTTGAGATAAAAAGTAGCCTATATCAATATCCATCTCATATAGTATGTGTATATTAAATTACATAGTGATTTGTTAGGCTGTAATAAATATACAAAGAAACTCACTTTCACATTCATAATATCACTAAGTCGTCACTTAAGTGTTGCATAATACAATACAGCTATATCAAGAAAATATTTGAATGGGAAAGATCTTAGATTAAACTGTCAACACTGAAAAAAGTTTCAATTTGACAGCGCAATCCGCATCTTAAAAAAAGTTTGAATTTGACACAAAAATCCCTATTAACAAAATGATCCGCCATTTATTGAATTCATTTGTTACAAAAAATGTGATAAATGAAGAATCGCTCGACCGATTTTGTGCAAACTTCACATAAACCATCTACTAAACAGTCCGAACAAAGCCTAAACATTTGATTTGGATAAGTGAGCCCGTTCTTGAGTTATAAAATTACAACGAAAAGTGGCATTAATGTTTATATATATAGATTAGGTCCTTACATATGAAATTAGTGTTTTGTACGGGAGAAATAACAAGTCAATTGTTTTGTATTAAATATATTTAATTAATCAAAGTATGCACAGTTGTTATCTATGCATTTTTGTCATCTCATTGATCCTTTAACTAAAAAAAAAAAAACTATGGGGGCGAGAATCAATAAACTCTTTGAAGACGGTTTGGATTGCTGCATCGGAGTTGAATTTTTTTCCTTGTAAGAAGTTATCCAAAATTCCGGAACAAATGGTAATCTGTTGGTCCGAGGAGTATGGTGGATGTCGCAAACATTCCAGTTGTAGCTTATCTAACTTAGTGGTTGTTTGTTGTACAGTGTGTGGTCTTGTTGTCGTGAATCAGCAGTGGCCTAGAGCGATTGACCAATCTTGGTTGTTTAGCAGCTAGTTCTTCCTTCATGGTTTGCAGTTGCTGACAATAGATATCTGCCGTAATCGTTTGGTTAGATGTTAGAAAGCTGTAGTGAAGGACACCGGCGCTTGTTCATCAAACACTCAGAAGTAACTTTTTCTGAGTCAATTTTCGTTTAGGGCAGGATTTAGCTGGGTCTCCAGGGTTCAGACATTGCGACGAGCGCTTCTGATTATCGTACAGTATTCAGTCTTCATCACAAGACCAGATACCAGATAAGATACCAGAGGGAGACTTTGTACAAAAGTCGATTGCTTGGATACCTCTGTCCCATTCGTGTTTCAACCGTGAAGCAGTTGTGTTTGCATGGTTGTGTTTCGGTTTGAAGGGTGGGATATGGCGTGAATTTACTGGGTACAGAGGAATAACACCTGAGTCCTCAGGAATGGCAACGCATGGGGGATGATATCATGGGCGAAACAGTATACTCTGTTACGTCCATGGTACTGCTCATGTCTATAGGCGACGGTTACCACTTTCCATCAGGTGGGCCGTCAGCTTGTTTGCCATTCTAAGTTTTATAAAAAAAAAAAAAAAAACAAGAAATGACTCGATTTAAAATCCCTTCATTATTGTGTCGGTTGAGCAAAGTAACACAGCAGGCGACGCGTGTTTACAAGTTCAGTCCATTCATGAGGTACCTATCATTCAAGTTTTTTTTTACTTTCCCGATTTACTTCAAGTGGATTAATACAGTTTTATCACTTACCCCAAAGCCTGCAGCTATCCCTGAAGTGCTTTGTGATGCATCCGCTTCCACAATAGCCTTTTATTCTTCATTTTCCACTTTGGTCTCCGCCTGTCCACGGAGTTGGTTCTGAAGATCGAAATATCCAGAACGAAAACGTTGTAACCAAAAACGTACCGTGCTTTCTTTTGCGACACCAGCGCCATACACATAATTAATCCTTCGAGATGTTTCTGCAGCACTGGTGCCACGGTAGAACTCGTACTCGTAAATATGCCGATATTTCATGTTTTCCATTGTGCGGTAATAAGCGACGCCAAGGAAAAAAATAATAAGGAAAAAACAAATGAATTCGAATGTTTTCAAACAAATGTTTTCAAAACTCAAATGTACTAGCTAAATGAATTTATAAATTTGAATTTGAAATTCTTAACCAAAGAGAAGATATTTTAGATCAAAGTGGTCAGCAAGACAAAACGCTAATTTCATATGTATGGACCTAATATTATATATAAATTTATAGTAATAAGTTATATGTAGTTATATATACTAAAATTGTATTGGTGGATGATTTTAATGCTAAGCAAAACTGTTGGTGTTCTGGTCCTGTTATTAGGCATGGTGTCAGGTTATTTGATCTTATGACACAAAGTGACTTCATAGTTCATACTCCCACTATTTAAGAAATTATCCCCGAAAGAATAGGATCTTTGCTTTTCTAAAGTCATCTATTGACAAATAGAGTTTTGTCTCTACTAGACAATAAATGACATAAAAAATAAAAATATGATAAAATATTGTAGTAATTATAATAGATTATTTTGATGGAATATAAGGTAATGGTATGTACTTATTTCCAGATTGATGCCAGTATTGTATGAGACATGATTCGGAATAAGAATAGGAAGGACCAGCCGTCCCACAGTAGTACACTCAGATCAGCGTTGCAAAAAAATGATATTGAAACCTTCAAAAAACTCATTAACAATGTTGACCTTGAATATTCTTATCCATATCCGGACTATAAAACTTGTCTTGAAATGGCTGTATCCGATCCAAAAAAAATAGATTTTGTAAAGCTTCTGTTACAACATCGAGTACAAATTAACACATATAATATAACCGGTAGCACTCCAATCCACTTTGCAATTGATAATGGTAACAAAGAAGCTCTGAAACTTCTGCTAGAAGATGCTAGAATAGATGTGAATATTAAGTGGAAAGGAAACACTCCATTGTTAATGGCAATTAAGCAAATAGAAAATATAAAATATCACCCCGATCGATGCTCAGAAACACCTATTTATGAGGATATGATAGAAATGCTTCTTAAAGCTGGATGTAATGCAAATGCACCAGACTTAAAAAATAACACGCCAGTATCATGCGCAGCAAAACAAAAATTAGAGAAAGTTATAAACCTAATTTTTACTTACTCTAAGGATCCTATTGATCTCGATACTTACAAAAATGCGGATGACAAAACAGCACGGGATTTTTTAAAAGAAGCTTTTCCACACTTGTTTACACACTTTCCACAGTTTAGTTTTTCTGATGTTGTTGACAATGACAAATTGTTTTCATATCTCAATAATGGCGAAGAAGACAAATTTGTTCGTGACTTTATAAAGCTTGTGGAGAAAGGTGAACATCAAGGGGCATTGGAATATACAAACAGTAACAAAACAATGTTACAGCAAGCCACAGAAAAGGGGTTTGATAAAGCTGTAGAGACTCTATTGCTTTCTGGGGCAGACCCTAATGCTAATTGTTCGGATATTATATATCGACCTATAGCTATTGCTTGTCAAAAAGGATTTTATAACATAGTCGAAATGTTCACTGAAAACGATAATACATTACTTGACCCTATAAATGATGAATCACTTGTCACATTAACTATAAAAGGGATGCAAAGCTATTCCGAAAACTCTGAAACAAATCATAAACGTTGTTTACAAATTTTACTTAATCATCAAAAATACTGTACGAATATTGATCATATTGATAAAAAACAAAATACAGCTCTACATTATGCTGCTCGAATGGGCGATAATGACACTGTATTGATGTTATTGCGCAAAGAAGCATGCATAGGTATACGCAATATTTATAATGAACCACCATTGGGTGATATCCATGCTAAAACGATAGAAACATACTTAGATGAATGTCTTACAACAAACGGCGGACGCCTCACTGATGATGACTATGAAGTACAGATAAATTATAGCTTTCTAGTATATTCAAACGTTAATACACTGAAGAAAGATTTAACTAAAGAGCGTTTAATAGATAACGTGACAGAATATGATGCTATTTTAGCTCCAGAAACAGATGCTATTTTGTATATGACTCGAAACGAAGAGTTGAGACCCCTATTAAAGCATCCGGTGATTACCAGTTTTCTATATTTAAAATGGCAAAGAATAAGTTTTCTTTTCTACGCAAATATTACATTATATTCTCTGTTATGGTTCTGTCTGATTCTTTACATTATATTAGGTTATGGAATAGAATATAAGGAGCCAAATTCTATTCAAACATTTAATGTTTTTACTCATACCGGTGTTATCTTTGGATTAATATTCTTAATTATTAGAGAGTTGTGCCAACTATTAGTTGCGCCTATAAGGTACTTGCAGAATACTGAAAATTGGATGGAAATAGCATTAATAATTGTAACTTCGTGGATCGTATGTTATGATTCTGCACCAGAATCAACAAAGCAACAATTATCAGCTGTAGCTATTTTATTATCATCTGCAGAATTAGTTCTTTTAATTGGTCAATTTCCGACATTATCAACAAATATTGTAATGTTGAGAACTGTTTCATGGAACTTCTTCAAATTTCTCCTTTGGTATTGTATTTTAATAATTGCCTTTGCGCTTAGTTTCTACACATTATTTAGACAAGAAATCAATGATGACAAAAATGCTCCAAATCCTAATTGTACTAAAAAAGAAGAAGACGAGGAGGAAGACTTATTCGTGGACCCAGGAAGATCACTGTTTAAAACCATCATTATGTTAACAGGGGAATTAGATGCAGGTTCAATTAAGTTCGGTACATTCCCCGTAACAAGTTATATTATATTTATTCTATTTGTTTTTATGATTCCTATTGTGCTATTTAACTTACTTAATGGTCTAGCAGTCAATGATACACAAGCAATTAGAGCTGACGCAGAACTAGTTGGTCACATATCTCGAATCAAATTAATATCACATTTTGAGAGTGTACTTATAGGCAATGCTGCATGGACAAGTAAATTATGGAAATGGCTGCCAACATATATTCAAAGATCCATTATTTTAAAGTTTATAACATCATATATAGAAACTTTAGCAAAACGCATAACACTTTTTCCACATTTTTTGCCTGAACATCGCATTATTGTGATACCAAATCAAGAGTACAAAATAGTGATACCTAAAACTACACAAAAGTCATACACACAGTCGCACAACAATGAGGATATTGAGGGTCACAATCACTTCGAATACTTAAAGAATTACACATTTGATAAAAGTATTGTGAAAAACGCTAAAATTGTAATTAGTGCTAAGACAGAAGTTTTAGAACTTGACGAAATAAAGAATAAATTATGTCATTGTGAGACAAAAATTTCCAAACTCCAAAATCTACTAGAAAAAGTGCTAGAAAAATTAGAATCTCTTCCTCATTAATCTAATGTACGTTTTGTAATTTTTTTTCGAGCTGTAATTACTGTTGGACTCAGATGGTCTAGACAGCTTCACCGGGCGCGTATGCAAGGGCGAGTGCGGATGGCACTTCAAGCCCGCTAGAGGGGAGCGACAAAGTACCGACTCTTACCGATGGACTGCGGCGTTTGCCCAAGGGTACCAGAGCGGCTCGGACCTCGACATTTTTTTTTAATGGATGATAATATAATAGTAGCCCCGCTTCCGCTAACGGTATACGCTTACGGGGCACCAGTGAGGGATGATATATAAGAATAAAGAGGCAGGTCACAGTTAGCACATCGTGATAAATACACCTGGAATTCAACACGATGGTTTCCAAGGAGAACCACGTGGAGGTCAACCTGATAGGGTATACTGCTAGCAATAGAACTGGTAGATCACATTACTAACAATCCCTTTCCCCTGGACCTCCGCTTAGATCACCGTACTTCGACCCCCGACAAGGGACGGAAGATCGGTTTGAATCGAGGGGGGAGAAGTCGGTGGATTGCACTCATGTGTATACCTGATTATGCGTGAACGGTATGTTGGAGATCTTCGTCCCCGCCGGCGGAGACAGAGTATACGGTGTGGTTGTGTGAGTGACAAATGTTCAGCATTTGCCAAAGTAATTGGATCGTCGGGATCAGAAAAGTGCGTACCCCGAACAACCCCGTTAAGGAGGGATGTTCTCCCTAGGGGTGTAAGTAGCCGCTTTCACGGTGAGCGGATTCGAATGGGACTCGGGCGACACATATTGTACATAACTCCAATGTTATTTCGTATTCTTCTATTATTATGAATGTGAAAAGAGATTTAAGGTTATTTAAAATTATTTATATCGTAGATTTAAAAATCCCTGTTTTAGTAATTACCTATACAAGAAAAGAGTGCATGGGGGCTCGTTGTCAAAATTATTGTACGTAATAAAAATATATCTATGAAATAGAAGTAATTATTAAAATAAAACATGCTAGTTTATATGTGGAAAATATCACTTAACCTAGCGTTGCTACTTTCAATAATAGGGGAGGCTCATGTTTAGTAAACTTGGTTAGATAAATGATAAAGACAAAAAAAATAATGATATTATATTTCTTTTTTATAAATTTAAAAACTAATCTCTATTTTTTTTTTTTTTTTGTACAATATAGTACATGTTACTCGCTGTTAATATAGCTCTCTATACGTAAAATATTTTTTAAAATCAATTAAGCATTTTTTGAGTTTATCCATTACATACAAAAATATCAAATCTTTCATCTTTATAATATTAGTTCAGATGGTTGAACAAAAAATTTTATTTTCTAAATAAATCTGTCCAGTTTATCTTTTATCGCAAATATATATAAATTTTGACAATAAATCTGAGACGAAAACATATTTAATATACCTAATAAAATAGCTACCAGTATCAAACAAATTATTTTCACTTGTTTACCACATTGATAGCATGTGACATAACAAAGGTAACAAAAAATTGTAACAAAATGTCTAATTAAAAATTCTTTAGTATATTAATTTTATTAATTTTCTGATCATATTCGTATATTTCTATTGTTTTTTAATAATGTACAAATAATATGTTTAAAATGAAACAAATTCTTTAACGATTCTAAATTATTGTCTACTTTCAGCCACACAGTTATAATATCGCTTTTAGCGATATGGCTGTCCATTGATTTTGCCGTGTAATCTATTCTGGAATACTTTATATTTATAATAAGTTTAAGTACTACTATAATCATTTGGAGGAAACAATAAAGAGTATAGTCTAAGAGCTGTAAGAAATATATATATATATAACATTATAAAGTGGTATTTACCTTATCAAGACTATGTATAAGCTGGCACCAGGATGGTTCAATGACTTCAACACACATGTAGTATTGCAGGTGTTGTATGCAGCTGAGCATTCGTTGACGTAGAGCAAACGCATCCGCATAGAGACGTGCCTCAGAAAAACGTTTAACAACTTTATTGTACAACCACACCCTGCAATCGGAGATTTGATAATTTGTTTAAAATATATTCATCAATGTATTGTGAATCTCAAAGAGTGGGAGACGATAGTGAAATTACTGAATACAGAGGCATAACATACTCAGGAAGACCACGCACGAGGAGTACCATGCATGACATAATACAATTGGCGATATTATAAATAGTACCATGGGGCGCTGTTCATAACACTTTAGATAATATAGATAGAGCATCAAGTGCAAAAACAGGACAACTTTTAGCCAACCAAACTTTAAATTGGCTGATACTTTTTTTTAAATAAAAACAAACACATTTGTTTTCAGTGTTGCACGTAATCAGATTAAAAATTTCTCAAATTAAGATGATTTTTAAATTAGAATTAGAAACTAATTTTCTGTTATAATGTAAATAAACAAATGTATGTACTGTTTACAAATTAATATACAATATGCAGTCATTTTCAATTATTTAAAAACAAAAACAAATGTTTACAAAACAAATTTATATGTATATTAAAATTTAAATAAAAATATTTAGTACAAATAAGCATCATTATGAATCATTGTGAACTATTTATCTGATTCTCTCAAATATATTTAAAGAATCTTGTAAAATTTTTATTTTTTAGTTTTACCTTACAATATACTTTTTCTCATGCAACTATTCACGCAGCATTATTATACAATGTGGCCTGATTTTAGCGAAGCATTTGTATGGGGACATTATCTTTATAATCTAAGTATAACACATACAGTGTCCAATGGTACCTGTTCATGTCTATACGTGGCGATAATTATAAATAAAAAATAATACAAGTTACATAAAAAAAAATATAGGTCAATGCCAATAATTATAGATGTATTAAGGAGGAGAGAGGATAACCCTAGAATTCAAACAAAGCTTCACAAATATATGTCTGAGAGTACACATGCATCTTTTTTAAGGGATCTGATGGGTTACAATATTGAAATCAAGATGATTGGCACTCCCGAATTGCAATAGCTAGTATTGCAATTCCATAATTGCAAGTGACATAATGGTTCCATGTTGTTTTGATAAATGCATATAACTTGCCAATGCTCACTATTATAAACCAATCTCAATTATAACCTAATTCCTAATTGTTGTGTCATGTGTACAGTATAAAAACACCATTAGCAATAGATTGGATTGATAATGATATTAGATTCAAGAGTAGACCTGCAGGTTCCTTAAGGAAAATAATCTTAAATACGCCAATGGCATTAATTATCTATTAATATAATATTTTTTACATATTTTAAATATAATTTTCTATATATTTAATATATTTTAAATATAATATCAGTATAATAATATCCATAGTCCGTGTGATCCCGGCATAGAATAGGCCACACATTCCTTTCCCGTGGGTGTCGTAAGAGGCGACTAAAACAAGGCAAGGCAGCATCATCACTCTTAAAACATCTCCAAAGCCTAACTGCGGTTACCAATCCGCATGCCAAACATGGTAACTATTGGCAAAACCCCCCTTATGGAGAGATCCATGATCAACAGTGAACAGTTAACGGCTAACATTATAAATACCCACATAACAGATTAAATACTGGTAACTGATGACACTTAGTTAAACGCTGTATTCATAATAAATATATTATTGGCAGATTTATAAAGATGATACACTATAAAATATGTCAATACTGTAAAGAAATGTGACAATATATTAAAGAGACCAAAATCGGGCATTTCAGTAACTAAATATTAAATAGTTTGCATTTTGCGACACGGGACCTCTCTCTGAATGCCAGCGGCAGACTGCCGCACAAGTCCCGCGTAGATTTCCTCTTTAACTTTTCGACATATAATTTATATAAAGTTATATTTTCGCATCAAAATTTTGACTAAATTTAAAATTAAACACACAGATTAAAGTAAAACGTATTTGTTATAATTTCGTGTATGAATTTTGATAATCTGTTTATAGGTTTTGGCAGGATTTAGTTTTTTAGAAAATGATCGTCAATTTTTCTTTATTAAATTTATGTTACTTACAGTACAAATAAATTAATTTTAAATACACAGATTGTACTTTAAAAATCTAATTTTAATTTTTTCTTTTTTTTTAGATTTTTTACTGTTGCCCTAATCTAGTAATAACTTTTTATAAAATGACCTTTTAAGGGTTATAGTGCCTTAAGAGGGGCGCTGCTACTCATTTCTCGACCATTAAATTTCCTTAGTCGCGTCTTATGAGATCCATGGGAAAGGAAGGGCGGCGGCCCATTCTATGCCGGGACCACACTGCACGACACGACATGCACATACGACAAACACATTATTGGAACTTATTGAAGGTTGTTTTTAATATGGTAAATCATAACTACCTCTTTTAATTAGCTCCCTAAAGACAATAAAGTAAAAAGACAATAGTCTTTAGGGAGCTTATTACAGATGTGCAAACTTTCAAATAGAATTAACTTTTTACGGTAGTTTATGATATTTTTATTTTCTTATTTAATTTAATCATTAATATATGTTTGAGTATAATAATAAAACCAAACATATTAATAAATTTTCATATAACATGGTTTACCTGCAAAGCAGTCTTTCCACATGTTTACAATAGAATAGGTGTCTGAATATCATCTGGTAGCAAGCAATCGCCTTATGGTTCAGTATCAGTGAGACTGGCCACTTCACTTCCATACCAAATGAAAATGTCTCTATACCAGTCAGAGGTGGGCAATCTTTGTTTTGTTTGTATTCTGTAAAATCATACATATTTATCATCATCTATTTCATTATATGTCAGGTTAGTACAGTCTCTTGGATTAAACATGTATAGAATGATTTACAATATACAAAAACTGTTCTCACAGAACTAACACAAAAAGAATTTTTCATTGTTTTTTACAAGTAACGTAACAAGAAACACGAATTCCTTGATCTACTCTGTGGTGTAACTTATTGTTAACACTTACTAATATTATGAGTATGAAAGTGAGTATGTTAAAAAGTACTTTTACACCTTGACCACTTGTCATGAAATTTGGTTAGCAAAGGTTATACACTTATTATCCTTATGACAGAACCTACTATTTATCCCAGTCCATCAACATGTTACATGAATGAGGTTGCGTGTGAAAATGTGTATCACCATCTGGTCAACTTTATGACATAATTTGCTTATAAATAAGAAAAAAATTATTGATATAAATATCAATAATTTTTCACTCACCTTTTTCTTCTTCTGTTTCTATAGATAAAATCTTGAACATCTGAAATTGGAGATCATATGGCAGAAGTTCTACTCTCATGTCTTCATTGTACGGATCATGACTAGCTGCTGACAACCTGGAATTATAGTTTATTATCATTTAAATAAATTAATATTATGATATAAATAAAATATAAAATAAAGAGATACAATGTCTCTGACTACTCTAAAAGTGATTATAGTCGTGAGCATATTTGTTTTTAGTTTATATACAGATATAGACAAAACAACTATTTTATATGCTAATCTTTAGCAACAAAACAGCTATAATATATTTCTGGTAAGAATTCACATAATACAGTTGACATGTAAGCAGTGGAAGAGATTCACACAGGACCACAATAAAGAGCTAGAACAAAAAGGAGACCTATGCTCATTACATATTAGAATCATAATATCCTTAAGACTAGTGCAATATTAGACTGATCTTCGAACATCTATTTTTGACGACGGAACACCAATACGAAAAATTACTACTGTCGGTCACGCTGCGCAAAAATCCGGTGAAGGCCGGCGTCTGTTAGGTCGTGAACGCGCCAATCTACTGACGACAGAAAATCGGAAACACTGGATTAAATTTTATGACACGCCGAAGGTCCGCGTTTAGTTTTTCGCATTGGTAGGTATTAATACGACTAAAGATACGAAGAAATATAGCGCTAGCCAAAGGATTGTAACATTTATTATAACCTTTTAATATATATTAATACCTTAAACAAAGACCCAAAAGTGATTCCAGCTTGGAGGGTATGATGTCATCAATCTTCTTTGAGAGTTCTTGCTCAGTAGCATCCATGAACTGTACAATGAAATCACCCTGACTCATAAGAAAGTAATTCTTGACTGACTTGAGTCTACCCATTAAGTCATATTCCTTCAACAATAGTTCTAGTAAAGATTTACTGGCATATGCATAAGCTTTTTGTATTATGGCACCATAGTTTTGTTCTCTCAATGAATATTTAATTTCTTCTGTGTTCGTTTTCATGATTGCTTTACCTGTAAATTAATAATGTAGTATACAGTTCTCTCTTCATTTCCTGTCAGTCTATATAGACTCATCTCAGAAACTATTGTAGACATTTTATTATGAATAGAATAAAAAAAACTGATTCTGACTAGGGGATGTGGTTAATAAAATTGCACTTTTTATTTTTGGTCAGATGTGTACATTATAAAATATAGCTATTAAATAAATATGACATGTCATGTAACTTTTAAAAATTAGCCTCAATGTAAATATCATTTGATTAACACCTCCATCTTATACCTTGACAATGTGTAGAGTTCATGTATATATGCTGAGCTTTCATATTTTAATGAAAGAAGTCAGAAATAACTGTTCTACTATTTTATGTAGCCAAAAATATAGACTTTGAATAATTTTACAAGGGAGTGACACTACACACTCTTGTTACCATATATCAAACGGGAAAATATACAACTGATATTAACACATTCCAAATATGAAATAGATATTTAGATACAAATATTAAATCCAAAAATTAATAGCAATATAATCTATTTACAATGTATAAATTTATTATCACGCATATTTTTTTATTTATAGTTTGTATTTGGTTGAACTGTTTAATATATAGATAATTTAAAATTAAAACGAAAACTAGGCACAGGTTAGCTAGTAGGTTATAAATTACTACAGATTTCAAAATAGATGGTTAGATGTTTCAAAATTTACGTCAAAATTTTGAGGGTCACTGTGATTTACAATGTAGTACAATTAAATAGATACATACCGCACTGACTGATGACATTCAAATATTTTCCAGTTCGGAGGATAATGTCAGTGAATTTGTCTAGAAATTTGGGCACTCTATCTCTTTGGATGCAATAACGTTTCTCCCAGTAATCAGCTGAATAATCTACTGGTAATTCTTCCTTATTAATTAGTTCATTATCTTCAATCATGAACTCCTGAGTATAAATAAAATAAATTCAGCATAGTTATACAAGTTTCAAATAATTCAATTTAGGTTATTGAAATCATAATATTAATAACCCACTTTCAACTTGAATATTATTATCAGAGGGAGATTGCACAAAAATCATCTTTGAGTATCTCTTTCTGAATTGTGTTTCTATCAAGAATCAAATGTGCTTACATGGCTGTTTTCCAATAACTTTCTTATCTTACACCTCCAAAAATGTAATATCTTAATTGTTAAGTATGGCTATGCATAAGAGGGAATTATAGTGATCAATATATTATATGAAGTCTATGGTTTTTCATATCTATAGACAATTGATTCTGTGGCGCCACTGCTCTAAAACTAACTTTAAAATTATAATTTCAATTTGATATCATAGTGAAATCTTTATTTTAAGTACCGATATGAAATAAATTTCTAAGAGATTTAAGTCAAAATTATTATAAATTTAGTTTATTATGGTCCATAACAAAGCAATTTGGCGAAATTATCAAATTAAAATATTAGACTAAAAGATATATTTAGAGAAATGGCTTGCAAAAAGTGACCCTTGTTTACTATTTCCATCAGATGGCCAATAACTTGTTTGCTATCATCCACATCCATATATAATATGTATATGTATAAAAATATTAAAATTATAAGGTTACACATTAAAAACTCGAGTTCATTTAACAGCCATAATACTTACTTGAAAGGGATCTACAATAGTGCCTTTATGTATCCATTGATCCAGTATGGAAAGGTAAGGTCGGCATGAACGCTCGGTTAAGAATAATGATATCTCTTGGGCTCTGGCGTCACCCATCAGTGTGTTTGTTTTATCGTGAAGCACTGTTAAAACAGCGCCTCCACGGAGTTCACTCTGTAACAGGTACGATTACAGGATAAAAAAAAAATCATATTTCCTGTACATGAACATACACTTACAGCAGTAGAGATTAAATTTATTCTTATAATTAGCGAAAAAATAAATGGAATACTGAATGGGAAAGAAAACAACACAAACATAATAAATGTAGATAAATAAAATCTAAAATGTCATTAATGGAAAAAAGGATTAAAGAGTAAACATATAAATAAATACCTTTCCAATATTAGTGACAATTGCGGCAAGAACTTGCATAGTATGCATAGTAGGCAAGACAAAATACCATAATTTTTGCAATGTTAGATTCCCAGACATGTGCTCAGTTTCCAGTTGGGCTATCATTGTCTGAAATTAAAGAAAATATGTACCTTATTATTTGTTTTTCTATTTTTTAGATCATCAAAATTAACAAATAATACATATTTTTTATACTGGTAAGTTAAAAATATATGAGTCACAATTGCCCATTAGTCCTTGCAACATCCAGAGGCAGGAGACAAAAGTATTGTCATTTATTTAAATTTGAAAGCAATTTTTACTATTTATTAATAAATACCTTTATTTATCACTGTTATTGGTTTAACCACATACATAGTATGTCAGCTGACCATAACAGAAACAGACAGACTGACTTACCGAGACAGCATGTTAGTATAAGTTAAATTAATAATAATTCAGAACTTACATAATAGTCTTTTAGCAGGATTTCAATAGCAGCAACTAATGCATGTAGTACTTGACCAGACCACATATTGCAGTGTTCAATAAATCTCCTCACTATCGAATAATTAGATGCCAATGGAAGCATTTGTTGAACTATTTGCTTCAAGGCGTCATCTAGGTCGTCAGATATGATGAATGTACGAGGGTCAAAGGTATCTTTCACTGTTTGATGGATAATATAATTGCCAGGAATTCCAGTAAATACATACAGCAACTCATCTATGATTATATTTTCTTGAGAAACTATTGGAACCCCAGCTAAAGCAACAGAAAAATTATTATTAAACAGACACCATTCTACAAATGCAATTTTTATATAAATATATATATATATTTATATATGGATTATGTATATATGTATTAGCTTTTACCCATTAATAGTTTGTTCAAGTTGCTCAAGTTCAGACACTGAGGTAAGCCTAGCTGCGCAAATGGAAAATGATAGGTAAGGATGAAAGCAGGTTAGTTAACCTGTGATGAATTTTACAAGAACTAACCATGATGGTTTCCAAAGGGAACCAGGTATCACATCGAACTCCAATATATTGCTAGCAATGGAGCTGTTAGACCCCATTTCTAATGAATGAGGAGAACAATCAACTGTGGGCACTAGGTATATGGGGGTATTTTAAGTCTGTTACAGCTTTCAACAATTTGTCTTTGATCAAATTATATTACTCAGATAACATTTGTCAATTACTTTTGAAACAAAATACTATAATTATTTTATTTTAAAACATGGAACATCTTCAATAGTTGTTCACCCACTGAATTTTCATTTAATGTTTCACATAGACCAACTTGTATATATAATATACAAATTGTAAATAAAATTAAAAATTATTATATAAAAAAAGTAATTCAATTTTGAGTTTCTTGCCAGTTCTTCTCAATATATATATATATATATATATACTCGGACGGAAACTATTTGCGCGCAAAATATAAAATTATAATTTGTGTGTAAAAAATTTGACGTTCATATTTAAGAAAAATGTCCTACATGAATAAATGATTTTTGAATTTTGAATTTTTTGAATTTTATGTTAAAAGTAACAGACTGTTAATATTTCCTTTATTGAACCAATATATATAGATACTCTAACTGAAATATATAGATATTGCTATACCACCCACCACCACCACATCACACTGGATGTTGTTGCAACCAAGGGGCTGAGTGTCAACCAGCCATCAACTGCTATAAAATAAAGGGTTACATTGTAAGTAAATCAGACAACAAACTAATAGCTGAAACATACCCAAAGAAGCATTGATAGGTAAAGGCTCTTTAGGAAAGTCCCATGACATAGCCGGATGGTCCTTCTGCCAATTGGGAAGGTCCAAACTGCTATACCAATTAGGTCGTAGTTTGGATTCTTTTTCTTCAAATGACTTCATGACAAGTTTCTTGCTTTCATCTACAGCTTTCAACAATTTGTCTTTGATCTGAAATTATATTTTTATGAATTCCAGATAACATTTGTCAACTGTTCCCTTTATGGGAAACAAAATACTATAATTATTTTATTTTAAAACATATGTGTATAAATATTTATAATACCTGAGGAACATCTTCTTTAGTAATCTGATGTTTGCTGTCACCCAAAATTGGTTTTGGAGCAACTTTTGGCTTAAAAAATTTTGATTTCTTTTCATCATAGACCAACTTGTAAAATAATAATATTATATCAGACAAATTGTCAATGCTGAAAATAAAATTAAAAATTATTATATATTGCATATAATGTACATTGCAATAATTTATAAATAGTATTAGACTAGAACAATTCTACTTTCAACTCAAACTATATATATATATATATATGAATGTTTGTGAAACTGTTTATATGTCTAAACATCCATTACCATATTTAACATCTAAATGTTAGTTACTTGATCATATTTATTCAGTTGAATGGATCGGAATGAAAATTAATACATATATGGTACATCATGATACATAAATATTTTGAATTAATACATAGGATGCTCTAGCCTAATTCATGAAGGCAAATCCATATGATCCAACTAATGTTTGTTACTGTCCCAAACAGAAATATATTCTTATTTTGTGTCTACAAATATTATGTTTAAAGTTTTAGTCTCAAATTTAATTTTTGCTGTATTTTAAGGAAAATTTATTAATCGAGATACCAGCACAAGAGAGTTGTATTTGGAAAATGTTGCTTATAATCTGTATAATATTAAGGGCATTGTATAAAGTCACACAGTATTTTTTATCATCACAATTGTGTATATTTTATCATAGCCACATGACTATTTATGGAGTTCATTATAAATTGTGAGTAACATTAGTAGTAGAGGGATTATAGATGTTACACAATTATTCATTAGAATATGCTATATTATTTTGAGCCTCTTGCAGTACAATATATAAACAAATATATTTCCCCAAAAATGTAAGTAACTGGAGATCTCATTAGATAAGTATAACATCAATCACACTCACTTGCGGCTTTTTAAGTCTTCATATTTCTTGAGAAATGTCTTGGCGTTAGACGCTTTAAGTGCCAACCTCTGTGCATACTCATTTACTTGTTTAGATGAAAGATTACTATTACCGTAGTTAGAATCATTTTGAATATAGTCTAAAACCGTGTCTGCTTCCAAATTACATCTGTAATATATAAAGTTTTGTTGAATTTCATCTACCAAAACAATAAAAACTAAAATGTAGATGCCATATTATTTAAAGTGATAGTTACCCCAATGCGTCAAGTAATTCTTTGATAGTAGTTTGCATCTTATCCTTCGGTAATATCCAGTTTTGGTACATTTATTTATTGATGTATATTCGAATTAAATTAAATAAACGCTTCATCTGTTTGGTTCAAATGATTTGATCGAATCTATTTGACAGTTAATAATTTTGACACTAACAAACTTGACAGTTTATGTACAGAAGCAGTTGCACAGATATATAATTAAATGGGTCGACACTAAATAAGTTTCCTTTTTTTATTTAATTTTGAAATGTCAGATGCTAAATTATTATTCGTTTTTAGCAAATTTAGAATAATCTTTTATATCTACAGGTCCAAATTCGAGTGAACAAGTCAGCAAGTCACGTGTTCTACAATTTCATTACTTTTTATTCAAGTATCATGACAATAAATAATTATAAAATTAATTAAAATATAAATTAGTGTTCTATATACATTACAAGAATAATTTATTACCAAATTTGGTATAATAACATTTATATTTAAAGTATATAAAGTATAATATTTATATATAAAGTAAAGTATTTAAAGTATAATATTTATATTTAAAGTAGTCTGATTTTTATTAATAAATGTAGATACACATTTTAAGATGTTTAAAAAAATTAATATAATTTAAAATAAATATCTAACACGCCAAATGATCTGCATTTTAATTCTCACCTATTCCTCACTGGTGCCCCGTGGTATACCGTTAACGCAGGCGGGACTGCCATCCCATTATCATCTATTTTAATTTAACTTCTCATCATGTGGGCCTGTGTGAGCGTGCAAATATATGCATGAGTGTGGTAGGTATTTAAATAAAAATAATAGGATTTTTAAACCAAAATATTTAATGTTGCCACGATTGACGTCGGTTTTTTTTTTGTGGATCACAATCTTAAATTATATTAGTACGACTTAGATACACATATATAGGCATGTTTACTTGATTTTACTCAAAGCAGGATAGTTCATCTGTGAATTTGCCTGACCAATTTGTCTTGAAAATTAAGCACAATGTAATTAAATAAATAAAAAAAAAAAACTTAAAAATCCAAAACCAATCATCAATCAAAATCTTAAAAGATTGGGGGGAGAAAGGGATTGTTAGTAATGGAAACTAAAAATCCCATTGCTAGCAATATACCGAACCAGGTCGACCTCCTCGTGGTACCCCTGGAAACTATCATGGTTAATTCCTGATGAATTCATCATGATGGGCTAACTGGCTTGTTTTCATTCTCATCGATCACCCTTCGCTGGTGCTCCGCAAGCGTATCCCGTTAGCGCAGGTGGGATTACTATTCCATTTTCACGCATAAAAAAAAAATCTTAAAAGATTATATACCTACCTCATTTTAACACAATGATACATTTCAGAAAATGTTTTACACTGCCATCTTCTATTCAATAGCGATAGTAATAATCATCAATTTTAATATGGTTACTTTATAGATATTAATACAAGGTAAATGAATTTGTAAAGAATACTTTGTTTTAATATCTATAATTGCTTAATATTGATTTTCGGATAAAGTTTTTAATGAAGTAATAATTTAATCGTTTAAAAAGTAGTTTGATTCTACCGATCGCTAGATGGCGATAATCATTGATGCTTGATAATTTTAAGTTCTATATATTTTATAACTTAAAACATTTATAATTTTAAAAATGAATACGTAGTATCACTATTTAGTTTATAATGATTAGATAAGTACACAACTCTATTGATTATTATTTTGCTTAAATGATAAAACAACGCTCTCCAAGTCTTTTTTTTTTTACAACACAGGAAGCAAACGAGTATGCGGCTCACCTGATGATACCGCCGCCCATGATCACCCACATTATCAACAGCATTGCAGGTGTGCTGCCAGCCTTTTAAAAAGGAATATATTCTTTTCTTGACGGTTATGATGTCGATTTGTTTATATAATTATAAATTAGGTATTATTTTAATATATAAAGTTGTCATTAATATTGTTATGTTTTGTACCTGAATAAGTGACTTTGTTATTTTATTTATTATTATATAGTTTTCGACCTGTACTAATGATATTAAATTTTCTTTTTTGACCAGCTGTTGCTCAATTTTTGATTATATTTCGGTTTAATGTTGATTTCGGTAAAATATTGCCTACAGAAAATGTATGTACGTTCAATATCAATAATAATGAATGCTTGTTTAGCATTTTGCGAAATAAAGTATTATTAGTAAATTATAAATATTTTTAATAAAGACCATTTTTTAAATAAATAATAATTTTAATATATAAATAAAGAATAATTTTTACCTTCTTAATGTAATAAGAACGTAAAAATATTATAACCGGGGTTTTGTCAGTTACGTATATTTTATGTCTTAGAACATCTTTATAATAATATTTTATACCTATTACTCTTTCCTTCCTTTAAAACTACACTATTTCTTTACCTACTACATAGATATATTATACCTACAAGTAATATGTATGCTTATAATATAATAAAGTTATTTTCTCACAACCTGTTCAGAGTTAAGACAACATTCAAGTTTATGGGGTTACAAAAAGCTTCGAAATTATCTAATTTTTGCTCAACGCAATACCCATATATCTTAGAATGGTAATAAAGCTGACGGCCCACACGATGTTAGTGCTTGGTACCTAATTATAGTATATATATATGTACACAACATCATGGTTAGAGCCTATATACCTCTGTTACTTTTAAGATAATAAAATATATATCTAGTCATATTATGGATATCACATCTATTATCAGCGGCGGCCTTGCCCATTACGAAGCTCCGGGCGGCAGGTCTTTGCGAGGCCCTTTGTCCTTCGTGAAAAGTATGTGATGCGCGTGTGATGAACTAGGTCTGGTTAATTAACTAATATATATCAAATTAATGTAAAATTTTCCATTGATTAAAAAAGCTATGTCTTATTTCACATTTTTTTTTTACAATTTTTTTTATTTGTATATTTTAGTGTTGGTAATTTTGTATATTCGTGATTAAAATGCCTAAATCGAGAAGTTTTTGCAACTTGCCTCTAGACAAAATGTTACTCACTGGTTGTTTAAAATTTGCTTGGGTTGTTACGCGAGGCCCCGCAGGAGCGAAGCCCTGGGCGATTGTCCTGTTCCCCACCCCTTAAGGCCGCCACTGTCTATTATACAGTATCGCTTAATACGTGAGGTGAGGATGAAAAGGCAGGTCAGTTAGCCCATCGTGACGAATTTAACGATAAATTAGTCACGATAGTTTCCAGGGGGAACTGCGTGGAAATCGACCTGATGGGGTATATTGATAGCAATGGGGACTAACCTCCCAAATACTAACAATCCTTACCCCCACTTAATACGTTACCGCCCATATTACCTAATGATGTTATAGATATCGCAAATCTGAATTCAAATCTGAATACAAGTAGTAGTATTTACTTACCAGAGAGAAAGGGAATGTTAATATTAAGGATTTAATAGCCCTATTGCTAGTAATAAAACATATCATGCCAACCTCCACGCGATTCCCTAAGCAAACTATTCCCAAGTTATTCTGCCACTGCTTCAAACTGTTGGTTCTGGAAATCATCGTGTTTAATTTTCGATGTCACGAATTGCGCCAATTGTTATTGTTACCTATCAACTGTCACTGACAACTCGCCAAGGTATATTGATAGCGCAAGAAAAGTTGGGTTACCTTTTCAGTTTAATTTTATTAAAATAGACAATCATATGTATATCAAATGTATTAATAAGTCAAACAAGATCTTATGTGTATACAAAAATTTTTTACAGATAATTCCGATGATTCTATCATTATTCCGACCTACACAATAAAAGTGCAATCAAAATATTCTAGTTCGCACACTTCTGCCTTCAAAATACGAAGTAGGTACGTAAACGTACCATTGATCAAAATCGTTTATTTGATCTGTAATCCGATTTTTATAAAATAAATGGCATTCAAACAAAAATACTTGGAGAAAAAACAAGTTTCTTTTAACATTGTTGACAATAAATGTACCCAAAGAACTTTTTTGTTTGTCGGCATGTTACAAAAGTTACGGTAGAAGTTCGGCAGTCGTTTGTATTCGAATAAAAGATCTCATATTTTGTTTTGATTTTTTGATACAAAAACTAAAGACATGGCACTTTTGTAAAATCGTCGATTCAAAACAGAATTGCTTGGAACAATTTATAAATATGATATGTGTTGATACTAAAAGAGACGCCGTCACATGCGAATTTTACACTATGAATAGTCAACGTTATAAAGTTTGATTCAATGAAGATTTTTATTGTAATGTTATAAAAATAAATATAAAAAGCTGCTATTACATATCTAAGTAATACATACTTTTATACATATATTTATACATTAGGTAACTATTTATATTTTTTTTTATTATTAAACTTCATACTTATTTAACGTAAATAGACATACTTTATATACTACTACTACATCCTTATTGTTATTAGATAGGTCAATTAATATCTACAGTGCATAATAACTTATTTTTATTCAACTAAGAATGACAAACAAGCTGACGGCCCATCTTCTGAAAAGTGGTAACCGTTACCTATAGACATTAACAGTACCATAGACAAAACAGAGTACAGTTTCTACTATGATACCCCCCATGCATTGCCATTCCTGAAGACTAAGGTATTATACCTCTGTACCCTATAAATTCGCTGCCATATCAACGCCTTCATACCTTCAAACCGAAATACAGCCATGCAAACACAACTGCTTCACGGTAGACACACGAATACGACAGAGGTACTCAAGCAAACGACTTTTGTACAAAGTCTCTCTCTAGTTTAATTCTGAATTAAGCAGTAACTTGTATTAAAATATATGTACAGTAAGGCTCGCCTTGTGGTTCCAACATAGAATAGGTCACCCCTTCCTTTCCCGTGGGTGTCGTCGGAAGCGACTAAGGGAGGACGAAGGATGGGCATCAGCGTCCCTTTCTTAAAACTAAGGGGGAGGCTTCAGCAGTGGACAGTTAAAGACACTTAAAATTTTTTTGGTGGATGAAAATGGAATGGTAACCCCGCCTACGCTAACGGGATACGCTGGCGGAGCACCAGTGAAGGGTGATTGATGAGAATGAAAACAGGCCAGTTAGCTGATCATGATGAATTCATCAGGAATTAACCATGATAGTTTCCAGGGCGATCCACGACGAGG